GTGCGACCAGAGTCACGGAACGAATTAAGTTCGTAAACCGAGGTTCCACTGTATATAGGGTTACTGGGAAAGATTTCTGTTTTTCTGCTGCTAATAACAATGGGACTGACAGAAGCTGCCTTATCAACTCTCTGTCCTAAAAATCCTGCTGCATATCAATACATTTGCCTATCAACAGGCAGAAAATTTCAGGAAGTTCATTGCAAGGAGGAAGACTTGTTGACCCTGCTACTATAGATCTTGAAAATCATACTGTAAAGCAAAGGTAGTTAAAACATTTTTTAATTCATTTATGGTCAATGACCAGCAAAGTAGCTACAATCCCAAAACAACACATAAAAGCAGGCTCAAATACAATAAGAAGAATAAGCCACCATATAGTCCTGCCAATTAAAATTTACACATGTAAGAAGTAAACAAAAAAGAACAAAATATAACAAAGCAAAACAAAATTGATAAAATAAAATTTAGGCAAGAGAATAAAAGGACTTCCTCATGACATTGTTCCAAGACTAGGACACCTTAAGCCTTTGTATGACAATAGCCGCTGATAAGAACTATCATAATATGAAAGAACTCTGTTCATAACACCAGGATTCTGGTCTGATAGTTAGAAAACAAACACCTCTCCCTCACTGAAAGTTTGATTTCTACTAGGAGATCGTGTAGGTATGCCAACACATAAGCTCTCCTAAAAGGGACAACGAAGAACTATGTGCACCAAGGTCAGGCTGATTCTGGCCACAGGGACAATTTCTCTCATTAAATGGGATTTTATGAAACTTCCCATTCAATACTGCCAAGGGTAGAGCATTAAATCAGGCCAAAAAGAAGGCTGTGCAGTGTGCTGAGCAAACCAGATTGAATAGATAGTTTGCAGGTCTAAAAAGTTTCTAGGAAGGAACCCACCCTTGTAAGTTGCTTATAGTACTCAAGTCTGTCTGACATGCAATATCAAAGACCCTTTGGCAAATCTCAGCTTTTGCTTTCTTTAGGCCTAGAAATACCAAAGAGTGGATAGAAAGGCCGCAATCACACAGATCAGCTATGATTTTTACTTCCCATCTTGATGTGAAATCATCAAGAAGAATTAGTGGGGCCAGTGGGCCAAGAGAAAATATAAGTTTGAACCAATAAGAGAGACGGCAAACCTAGACCCTTGCCTCCAATGGGATCACTCCTGTTTCCATGCAAATTAGAATGTTTGGAACATAACATGGAACCTGAAAGAGTGCTTGCAAAAGTTTAGATTGGACAGCATCCAGGAGCTTTAGATCACTGTAGTTGTATTATCTGTTCGCTATACAGCATTTGGGATATATATATTTTCAGTGGTACTTAAAAGTTTGTGAACTTTTTTGAACTTTCAATATCTCTGCATAAGTATGACTTAAAATGCAATCTGTTTTCCACACAAGTCCTAAAACTAGATAAAGAGAACCCAATTAAACAAATGAGTCAAAAACATTATACTTGTTCATTTATTGAGGAAAATGATCTGGGAGCTTTTCCACTTTTCAATTGATTTATTAGTTTCAGAATCTCTGGGTGGGGGACTGGGGGCCATGGAAGGATGCTATGCATTATCTTATTCAGGGGCCAGTAGATTGAGAGAGAAGAACTATAAAGTATACTACAAATAGTCCCTGGGTTAAGAACACCCGGTTTACAGACCCATAGTCTATTGTATCAAAATCCGAATTAAATACACAGTGATTTGAGTTAAATACACAATGGTTTGAGTTCATTACACAATACTACTTATACAGTATTATACAATAAT